ACCTAGGTGATTTTCTTTAAAATAGTATGAACTATAAATCAGAAACCTTTTTATAATGACTTTTTAAACAACTTGTATACCATCATCTTGGATCTTTACTTTTGCGATACCTGGAAGTTTAATACAACTTTCTTAAAATGTTTACTAGTATGTGGTTTATGATTTGTTTTATTAGAAAAAGACATGCTTCTATAAAACATTCCACTTCCTACTCTGTATGAGAAAAGATAATTTGAAGGTTGGTAGAGAGATGCTGATATTTTATGGGTGACAGCACTCCTAGCTGTGATCATTATGGCTCTGCTTATTCCAGGAGAGGAGCTGATTTTTTTTTGTACATGCTTGAATGATCTCATCCCAGACACAGGCAAGTGTTTGTGCGATTCTTCATTTTTCCATTAGGAATCAAACATACATCATGTGCCCTCAATTAATGCTTATAAGACTAGTGACCAATTGATCTACTGCTACATTGGTATTGTGTTCACAGTTTGATACAAATACACAAATGCAGTTTTGTTGTTTGGATTTTTCAAATTGATCTTCTGACATCCCTTTTTTCCCCTTTTCCCTATAAGTGGAAGAGATAGTTCAGAGATATATAATGCTAGAGAATTATTTCTGTAATTTATCTTATATTGGTCCTTGTGACTGCATTTTTTAGGATTATATTGAATTGGGAAATTATGCATTAATTTTTATTTTCAATTGTGTGGCTTCTGGGACCTCTATTTGAAGAACTATTGACTTGATACTTTTATTATTGCTATGATTATGACCTTTAGTCACTTAATTCCTGTTCCATGGTCTCTAGATCTATTAGCTTTGTTCTGTCTTTCCTTCTTCTTTCTCTCTTTTTTTTTCTTTTTTGGCCTCAACCTGTAATAATTACTAACTTTTTATTTATTATGTCATCAGAATCTATAATTTCTGTCACTCTCTTGGTTTTTATATTTACACATGTGCTTGACAATTTTAAACTCACTTTTTAATTTTACATATTTTTTGAAGGCATACTGTATACCAGGCATTGTGTAGACAACAAGATAGACATGGTCCCTAAATATAACAATAAACATGTTAACATTTTGAGATGTTTTATGCAGTTCTTCCTTGTATATAAGTTCATACAAAATATGTATGTATAACAACACATACATATATACATATATTTGCGTACACACACACACACACACACACACACATACTGTTGAACATCTGGTATAGTACGTGGTATATGGTAGGCAGTCAATAGATGTTGCATTCATTAAATGTGATACAAATGTGTTCCATTCACTGGTTGGTCTTTTCAGCACCATATTGATAAACAGAAATCATTATTTTGAATATAATCCAGTTTTTAAAATATTTCCCTGTATGGTTAGTGATTTTTATATACTGTTTATAAAAAACTTTATTTCTCTCACAGTATGAAGGTATTAATATCTTCTGCAGACTTTCATTCCAAGTAAAATCTACCAGGAATTTTTTAGTTTTGAGTTCTGTGAAGTTACCAGTTAAATTTCATTTTTTCCCCCTCATGGCTCAGTAATTTATTCAGTTCACTTACCGAAAAGATTATCATTTCTGCCACTGCTCTGATGAGCCAAACTTTTCAGAAATCAAATGTCCAAATACATGTGAATCTGTTTTAGGACTATTTCTTCTAGTTCTGTGGCCTAGTATTTATTTTTTTCTTCTATACCACTCTGTCTTAATTTTGTAGTTTATGAGGCTACTAGAACAGCAAGAACAACAACAAAAACCCATCAACCAAAAGGCTTATAAACAGTAAACATTTATTTTGCATACTTCTGGAGGCTGAGAGGTCCAATATCATGGTGCTGGCAGACTTGCTGTTTGGGGAGGGTCCATTTCCTGCTTTATAGATGGTGTCTTTTACTTTCTTCCCTTGATGGAATGAGTAGCTATTTCCCTGGGGTTTCTTTTGTAAGAGCACTAATCCCACTAATGTGCCTTAATCACCTCTCAAAACACCCTACATACTAACACTATCACCTTGGTGTTTCTGATTTCAGCATATGAATTTGTGAGGGACAAACACATTTAGACCATAGCACTTGATTGCTATACCTTTATAACGAATCTTGATATCTGTTTAAGTCCTCCAGTTTTGTTTCCTTCATGATTAAATTGGCTATTCTTGGCTCTTTGCATTTATATATGACACTTAGGATTAGTTTGCCAGTTTCAAAAAAAAAAAAATTATTGGGAGTGTATTGAGGTTTCATTAATAATTAAATCCATTTGTGAAGACCTGATAAATTTAAAAATACTGAGTCCCGCAATTCACATACACGGTATTGTGCTGGAGTCTGTACTGGTTCAGGAGAGCTGATGGGGTGTATCTCTTCCCAACTCTCATTCCCACTGGGAGGCAGAGGCATGTTATGTAAAGATGTGTATGGGATATTAAATATTGCTCATTATTTATTTAAAATCAATTTTAACTGATGCATGATATATGTAGTTTGGGGGTACATGTGATAATTTAATACATTCTTATAATTTGTAGAGATCAAAGATTGGTATACTTGGGATGTCTATCACCTTAAGTATTTGTCTTTTTTAATGCTAGAAACATTCAAATTATTCTCTTCTAGGTATTTTCAAATATTCAATAGATTATGGTAAACTATAATCACTCTATATAGTCACTGACTATATGTAAACTCTATGCTTATATCTATAAATCCACTTCTCTGTATCCCCCCCACCCCTTTTTTAGTATCCTAAGTCTATTAATAAGACTCTTATAGGGTTTAAGGAGTGGATTTGGGGACATAATATAATACTACTCTCATTTTTTAGAACAATTTTATTTTAAAGATGTGCAGCCGGGCTTGGTGGCTCCGCCTGTAATCCCGCGCCTTTGGGAGGCTGAGGTGAGTGAATTGCCTGAGCCCGCGGGTTCGAGACCCGCCTGGGCGGCAAGACCTCATCTCTACAATAAATCAAAAAATCAGCCGGGTGTGGTAGTACATGCCTATAATTCCGGCTTGGAAGGCTGAGGCGGAAGGATCGCCGGAGCCCAGCAGGCGAGGCTGCGGTGGCCGGGTGCAGCCACTGCACTCCAGTCTGGGCGACACAGTGAGACTCCAACTCAAAAAAAAAAAAAAAAAGATTTGGTGTACAATACAGGGTTAGGTATACAAATGGTCACAATAGATTATTTTAAGAGATATGTGAAGACTAAATAGAGTGAATCAACACTAGTGAAGGACCATTTAGGAGGCTTATTACTCTAGTCAAGAAGAAATAAAAATTTGGCTTAGGTGGTGGTATTAAAATTAGAGAGAAATAGACAATTCAAACTATATCTCAAAAGTAGAACCCAATTTCATTGAGGAAATCTAGGTACAGTACATCAACAGAGTTTCATTATAAAGTAAAATAGAATTCAAATAATACTGACAGTAGCTTAAATAAAGTTTTGCAGATTAAATAAATTATGCACATATGGAAATGTGTATGTATTTTTTTATTAAATGTTTTTATTATTGTTTCTGTATGCTAAATATACATATACATCTTTGTCCTGGGTGTCCCTGAGATACCAGGATATTAAGCATGCAAGAAGCAAACCTGGAGATACTTTTTCATTGAGATACGATTCAGAAAAATTAATATTACAACTCCACCTCTTAAAAATTATCTTAACTTATATTCTCTTTGGTTTGCAGGACACTAACGTTTTCATTTCATTAGTAACGACTTATGATATAAACACAACCACAAATTACATTTGCCATGTGGTTAATGCATTAAATGGGCCAGGTACTGTGTTAGTTGTTTCACATATTCTATTTTTAAATCTTATCAAGACTATACAAAGAACCACCATGTTTTACAAAATGAAAAGGTAATATGTTTAGAGAAGTTAGATAATCTGGCCAAAGTTGGTCATCTAGTAAGTGACAAGGCCAGAGGCCAAACCCTGCCATGTCTTTTGCAGACAATTATATTCCCAGGACCTTGGACAGCCACTGGCAAAACTGGAAAGACTGAGCACTCAATAAATGTGTGGTGGCTGCATGAATACTTCTGTCTCTTTTTCCACCTACTTGCTATTAATAATTCACATTTCTTTTCTCAAAAGAATAATGAGATTTAAAAAATAAAATATATTTATAAGTAGCAAGTTGAAACTTTGTGATTTCTCACATCTGTATTTAGGTTAGAAACTGACAGGAAATCAAGTTAATTAAAAAAAAAAAAAAAAAAAAAATAGTGCCAGAATACCCAAACTGCAAAGAATCACTGCTTTATTTATGCTTCAAAAATCTCTGTATAATCTAGCATGTCTTTAATGGTATATTATTTCTCTTTTGAATTGGTAGTGTTAGGACAAAAATTCTTTGTCTTTTATGGGAAGAATATATTGATCCATAATTGTTTCATTATTTTTTTCTCTTTTATTTGATTTTAGAAAAAATAAAGACACACTTTTAAAATTTATCTGCAAGTTTATTGAAATATGTTGAAGTGAAACTGAGCTAAATTAATAAAGAGATAATAAATTTGAACTAAAAGCCTTTGAGACCAATGATTTGAACCCCAGACCAGTTTCCTATTTTTATTTCCTTCTTATTCATGTTTTCTTACTCTTTTTATGCTTCTTTTAAAGGCATTCAGTACTTTGGGGACTCATTTGACTCACATGAAAATGAGCTCTAAAAAGCTGATTAGGGGATTGGTGTTATCATTGCACAAAAAAGCCAACCAAGTTATTAAAGATCTGGTAATTTCAGCTTCCGTGATAATAATATACATTGTCTCAATTGCTATCACTGCAGAGACTGTGGATTCAAAATCAAAACTGTAAAATAATTGTTTCCAATGAAGGTTATGGACATTAATTATTATATAAAATATCATACTTTTAGAAAATGTCATGGTGCAATAAAATATGGTCAATGACAAACTATGTTATGTTTCATCATATTCTTCTTTTTTAATCTGATTAACACTTTCCCCAGAAATACTACAGATGGCTGGTACCTGTATGCTGATAGTTCTAATGGGAAATTTGGTGACACCGCTGACATCCTTACTCCTGTCATTTCACTCACAGGACCAAAGTGTACTTTGGTTTTCTGGACACATATGAATGGTGCTACGGTTGGTTCTCTCCAGGTACTGCTCAGGAAATCACATTTTCTGAATTTTTCCTATGAAACTTCATTGTGCATAATTTTATGTCATTAAAATATAGTCTGTTAATAAATGAAAATGAACAATTACCAACACTTCACTAGTTTCATAATGGTATAATTGAGTAAAAGCTTTAGCAAAATTGAACATGGATAACTAATAGGTACTTTTTATTCTATTTAATTTATGAATGTCATCTCTATTCTCAGGTTACAGCTCCTGTGTAATACTATTTTGCACTTAAAAATATATCCTGTTGGTTTAAGTATCAATGTTCTGAGTAAATCACAACCAAATTCACACACACACACACACACACACACACACACACACACACACACACCACACTTTGGTACTATCTGGATGTGTATTCTTACTGCCTTAGATGGTAGGAGTGCTGCAATAGTCTTTTTCAATTTGTTTCTTTATAATGGAAGAAAAAAGAATTAAATTGGTTCAAACTCACAAAATTCTGCAAGAATAGTACCGATATCACCAACATACCCTTCACTCAGAGATTCCATTTTTGTGCCAATTGTCCTAATAATGTCCTTAAGAGCAAAAAATTCAATACAAGATCACATATTACACCCAGTTATTCCTTTCTAATGCCTTTCAAACAGGAATGATTTCTTAATCTTCACTAGACTTTTATGACCTTGATATATTAAAAAATTTGAGTCAAGTCATTTTGAAAAATGTTTCTCAGTTTGGATGTGTTCAGTGTTAAGCATTTTTTGCATGTAATTATCACCAATATTGGGGTTTTTTATTGTATTGCATTTGTTAATGATATATATCAATCCTATTATTTTTTGTTGCTTTAGTTATCAGTAAATATTTTGTGAAGATATATTTTAAGGCTATGTGAAATCTTGACCTCAACTCAATTTTGCCGACTAGTTTTGCCTCCGTTAATATTTTCTACCTGAATTAATTTTGTGATGTGGACTGTCTAATTGTGATTTATAATTCCATTAGTCTGTCTACATTTGTGGGTTTGGTTTATTTTCATCTCTCTATTGTCCATTTATTGTTTTATATCAGTGTGGACTCATGAGTTTCTATTTTATTCAATGTATTATAGTAAATTATTATTATTATTTATTTGGTTCCAAGATTGTCTCAGATTTTGTTATAAATCTCTTTAAACTGATATCTACCTCTCTAACAAGCCCCAATATTCTTTGAGCATTTTCTTTCTTTATGGCCAAAATGTTTCAAACTCTAAACTCATTTTTATCCTCTCCTCTGGAATCAACTACTTCTCCAGAAAGTGTTTTTTTTTTTTTTTCTTTTTTTCCCCCCTAAGGTACACACAGGCAAGACCTCTATAGTAGAGTAGTTCTGGAATACTAATGCGGATTCCCAAGTCTGTCCTCCCTAATTGGACATATCGTGGTAGAGAACGACATATAAGGTTCATAAGTAATATGTATGGACACATCACTTATAAAGATGAAGTCAACTCAATTTGGGAGCATTTCCGCCTACACTCAGTTTCATAATTTATGTGCAAATTCTAGAATTGTATACCATGTAGAGTTTTAGACCAAGGCTACCTGGCTAAAAGCAATCTATAGATAAGGACTCTCCCCTTCTCAAATACCACTAGTTTGTCAAATCTGTCTCTAGCATATTTGCCTTCTTTTTTTCCCAGTAAAGAGAGAGAGGCTGACTGCAGTCCAACTGCCTCACTGCTTCATTCCCAATAGTTTATTTCCAATTTTGATAGAAGGTGCTTTTTCATTCCCTCATTTTATCACTATTTTATTGTGTAATTTTCCTGGCTATTGCTATTCATTTTCCAAAAACATTTTAGGTGAAGACAAGTTATTTCAAAAAATAATATTTAAAAAATTGGAAACATATTAAACTAATAGATTAAATTTAGAATTGTATATGTATGATAAGGTAAGACTTCTTAACAACAACAAAAAAAACAGTTTAAAAGTATATTTGTGTATGTGCATGCAGGTGTGTGCTTAATAATCTAAAAGAATCCAAATAGTCATATGGGTTGAAGTTATAACGTATTGGTTTACATTGGCTTTTAACAAATGATTTTAAGCAAAACAATCACTACAACTGCAGGGTTTTCAACAGTAAAATGAGCATATTTTCCTAATGTTGTGGTTAAGGTTAATGATTTGAAATATGCTTTCAGTTTTTCAGAATGAAATTTGGTACTAGTATATAAACAATTACCAAATCATATTAAATTTTTTAAAGTAATTAATTATCAAATAAATAAAATTGTACATATTATTTTTGTACATGTATGATAAAATAACATTAAATGTTGTATTTCTATGTTACTTGAACAAATCTTTCCTTCCTGATTTGTATATAATATGGTATTCATACAGTGATGCATTTTCTATACGTTTTTTAATATCTTTCCAACATAATTTTACTTATTAGTTAGGAATTATATTTTCTTGACATCAGCAACATGCTGAATTAACTTGAATTTTATAGAACAAAAAATTGAAGATATTTTTACCAGAAACCTGCTTTTTCTATGACTTTGAAAACTAGCTTTATGAAACAGTCTAAATTTAATCTTTTACAAAACATAATCCTTTTACAAAACCATTAAATGTTATCTTCACTTTTAAAAGTCAAAACTTCTTTCACAAACCCTTTATTTGAATAATTCCTTGGTTGTATAAACTTACTTATAAAATGTAATATGAAAGGATTAAATAAACAATCTAAGTCAGTTATCTTAAAATGTGAAATTATTCAGCTCTTCCCATGTTCATCAGTAACTCTCTTCATGGCTTATTTTGCAACATTCTAAAAGAAGAGCCCTAATGGTTTGCCTGCAGTGGCTAATCTACACCTCTGGAATGAGGGTACAGTACTGATGAGAATTTGTTGGTTTCAAGGCTGTGAGGCAGGAATCTCTCACTGGCACAACAAATAGATGCCCCTCATCTCACCCATTTGTGCCATTTCAGTTAAATGGGCTCACACTTACATAATACAACTGCCACATTGAAACCAATCTGATGAGAAAGCTCATCCCCAAGAGTGTTTTGGTTGGTAGCTGCATGCTTTCTCATTTGACCACATGAATATTATTTAATATATAAAATATATTAAATCTGCTGCCAGATTTGCAAAAAGTTGATGTAGCTGAGTTCTTAATGAAATAGTATCCAGATACCTCAGCACTTGACTGACAGATATTCATACACACCTTTATTACACAAAGCTTGTGAGATACCCTAAGGGCACAGTGTTCAACCTTTAGAGTAGAAAACAGCTATCTAATGGAAAAATGTCTCAGCTCTTCTCTCAGGGGCTTCGTGTGGATCTTGAAATTCGGAAAAGCCACTAGAAACATTCTTATATGTTTGGAAGTTCTCAAGATAAAATATTCCGACAACTTTTATTTGATTCATTTTTGCAGGTACTCATCAGAAAGGATAATGTTACATCTAAATTGTGGGCTCAAACTGGACAGCAGGGTGCACAGTGGAAGAAAGTAGAAGTGTTTTTAGGCGTTCATTCACATACACAGGTTTGTAATCCAAGAGTTACAGGATGAAGGTGTTTTGTTGATTTTTAAAAATCTTTTATCCTAATTTATTTCCTCCTCTCTCAGCCTTCTCACCTCCCTCCCCCATTCCCTTTTCTGTGTGTTGTATGAATGCCTCGACACTGTTATCACTCCATAGGGCATTTTCCATAAGGAATTTATAGTTCCAAAATGCTCTGATTCCTTTCAATCAGACATTCATACTTCTAGGACCATTTAATTTGAATAACAACCTCTCTCTTCTCTCTTCCTCTATTTTGCAAATAAATTCTCAGAGTTTGTGGAGTAAATTACTTCAAATATTATTTAAAAGACAGTTTTTGAAAGCACATCTATTGTCGGATTTTATTATGCATAATAGGTTTAACTAATTTTCAAAATGTTTTGGAGAAGGGCAGTATTTTGTAATACTTTATTAGTCTTTTTGTAGATTATAATAATATTAAGAGGCTAAGACGTATACCTATCTAATAACTAAAGAAAAGTATAGCACAGAGATTGACATGTTTAAACTAAAAATGATTATGCGCCAAAATATTTCATAAGGACTTTATTTTTTATGAATTTTCAAGAAAATAAGAGCTCTATGGGCTGTGGTTTTATTGCAGATTTTCTTGGAAGATGAGGCTTAGCTATGAAGATTTGTTAAAATTTGAATAAGCAGAGTGAGAATCCAGAGCCATTTATGTAGGAGAACATTAACCGCCTGGGGCTTAATTTCATGAATTTAGAGCCATTTATCACTAGATAGAAGGGATATGATCCTTGCTAAATATTGCATTTCCAGTCCTCTGTATGTGCAGCTAGGGAAGCCAAGTCAGCTGTGAATGTTCAGTAAATGTGTCTACAATCATGTGCTTTCTCTGATAGGTCAGCCCCTCTCAATTCCAAAGGGTGTACAGGCTTCCTTTGTATATAGACATCAATACAACATTACACCCAATTTTTCTTGGAATGACAGGTGTAATAGATCCCATATATTGTTTTTAACTCTCACTGAAATTCAGTTTTCTTATGAATCATTTTTAGATTATTTAGGATATGGATAAAACTATGTTCAACTTGAAGTAGTAAAGACTGGATAGCAATTTAATAGCCTTGCACAATATGAAATTTATTATTCGAGCAATTTCAATTGTTCAACCTCCAAGCCTTTAAACTGAGGTAAGAAGAAGAATCCTCAGCAAGAACATATAGAAGGTTCTAGCTGCCAGGCATAGGCTTCCACCCCAGGCAATGAATTCCTTCTGAGCAGCAGTGAATTCTTAACCAGTTCTGTGCATGTGGAATATTTGTATAGTAAAATGATGTTTAAAGTAATGTTGAAGGGGATTTCATCAAGTGGATCAATTATTAATGTAGCCATGCTGAAATTCTAAGTTTTCATATATGGAAATTTGATTAAGGAGAAGTATAATGCTTTTGTTTGAATTGTAAAACTATTTGAACATTGCATTTGAATGTTTATTATTTCATGTGATGTACTGTACTTATTTCTTCAGAAAAAAATGTATTGAACACCTACTATGTGCAAAACTATGCCCAGGAGATATAGTGATGAATCAGACACACTGTTCATGATACTTTCAATTCTAGCAATATTGTTCCCATTCCCTCTCAAAGATGAGTCTCTGTAGCTCCTGAGGAAAAGTATAAGATATTTTTAGAAACTGTATTCTTAAGCAAACCTGGGAAGGTTGCATATTTTTATTTGGGAGCTCTCAAATTTAAACAAAATCTTTAGTTATATCAATTTTTATAAACAGGACAGTCACATATATAGCATGTAATGAGCGTTAGTGACTAGTCTATGAATTTTTAAAATAGTTGCTCATTTTACTTTCACAATGGACCTATGAAGTCCATACTATTATCATCTCCAAACTGTGAATTAGAATACAGACATACCTAGAAGTTAGGCAGACTTTCGATATGATCAGGCCTTCCCTCAGTTCACAATTCAGCTGCTATGCTACGTTGCCTACCAAATTTTACAAAAAGAATTAATCCTGACTTTGTTCTACCAAAGAAAGATGCATTGTAATTTCTATTTTTAAGTACATTTAATCACATTCCACATTAAACCCTTTGGAATTCCAGCCAACACTGTATGGAACATTGAAATATAAGTGATTATTTCATCATTTGGACAGGGAAGGCAACCGAAATTATAGCTAAAGGATAGAAGATAAGCAAATTAATAATGAAACACTCATAGAGTTATCTGGTTTCTTATTTGCAGAGCATTGCATCACAAATTAAAATGGTTAGACTATCTAGATAGTAGAGTATCCTTTTCATTTTGTATATCAATGTTTTTTTCAGGGCTCAATTTCCTTTGTAAGAAAGATATGGTCCTTGTTTTACTCTCTAGTTTCATCTTTTCTTGATCACTTGCAAGCTCTTCCTCTATCTTACTAGAGTTAGTTTTCTTTTTCAGCTCATCTGCTATGAACAATTTATGACTTTTATGCAAATTCAGCAAACAAAAACTGTTATATTTTTCTTTTGGTAAAGTGAGAGGCATAATTTCAATTATTCTGTTCTCTCATATTAAGAGGGAAACAAATGCCCATGTTTGGATAATTGCATAAAAACATACCGTATCTTCAGGAAAAAAACTGTAAATATTTCTTTTAAGAAAAATAAACCAGTCATGCTGGCTCATGCCTGTAATCCCAGCACTTTGGGAGGCCAAGGCAAGATGATTGCTTGATCCTAGGAATTCAAGACCAGCCAGGCAACATAGCAAGATCTTGTCACTACAAAATTTTTTTTTTTAATTAGCTGATTGTGGTGGTGCAGGCATGTAGTCCCTGCTACTTGGGAAGCTGAAGTGGAAGGATAGCTTGAATCCAGGAGATCATGGCTACAGTGAGTGGAACCATACCATTGCACTCCAGACTGGGCAACAGAGTGAGACTCTGACTCTAAATGAATGAATGAATGAATGAATAAATATTCAAAATTGGGCAAAAGGTACTTAGGAAACTGGTAACAGTAAAAGTTTTGTACAAAATCACTAAAGTAAAAATGTACTCCTTAATTCCTCTCTATTGTTTTAAATTTACTTTGAAATATATGAATATATCTTATGTTAACATATATACATTTATCTTGCAGAAAAATGTAATAAGAACACTGTGTATTTCTCTGAAAAATCTGAGACTCACCAATATGTGACTTTTTATGTACCTAGGAAACAATGTTCATTGTTATTCCAAGCAGTGGTATTGTTACAAACTGAAGATGGAATTTCTAAAAACATTAGTGACTTCGGTTATTATTCTTCACCACTTTTGATGCTATTGAAGACCATATATGTGGGAAATCACTGTCAAACAATAGGACATATGAGAATACTGTTCATAATATACAATAATCACAGGCAAATCAAAATAATTTCTATTCCAAAGATGTGCCAAATTAAAAAAAAAATAGCTCTCAGTATTGAGGACTGATCTCCTTTGGCTTTCAAAGAGTTGGAGTGTACACATCTGGGAGTAACAAGAATTGAGCAAAATAAAGAACGTGCTTGTATCTTCTTTCTCTTGGTATTTTAAGTCACCTGATTTTAACCTCCTACTTGTATGGTGAGACTCTAAGCATGAGCTGGTCTTGTTTTGTATCGGAGAACTGGTACAGGCAACATCACTGGGTTGGTGACTCTTGCCAATTTTTATGGCCCCACATCCTAAAAATCTAGACATGAGTCAGTGGTGTTGCTGCTCCCACATTCTTATGTATTGAGTATAACTGAGATCTTAAGTGGCTCCGAAGTTTTCTGGGTCGTTTTCAATATAAGGACATTTTAAAAATCAGATTCAAACTTGATGTGCTTGATACAAGGTCCTCCTCCCAAAAATAGAATTATTGTTTGCAGGGTGAGCACCTTGTAGTATGTGCTTCCCCACTAGGTAAATGTTCCAGGAACCCACTGGCGTCAGTGTACCAGCCAGCATTGTTGTGAGAAGCTATGTTGGGCTTCAGTCAATTTTTTGGTCTTTTGGGAGATTCTTTCAATGCATTTGCCCATTTTTTGATGGGTGATTTACTTGAACAACCTGCCCTTGAACACTGTGCTGAGTGTTCACTAGTTTTGGGCCCAAAATGGCATGCCTTACCTACCCTGTTCACCTAATCACACCCCAAGAGACCATTTTTTTTTGTTTGTTTCCCAGTTGAAAAACGTCCTCAAAGGGAAAAGTTTTGCCTATGTGAAAGAGGTGAAACAAAAAGTGGTAGAAACACGAAAAGACATCAAAATTGACGAGTTCAAAAACTATTTTGAGTGGTGGAAAAAGTGTCTTAATAATAGGTGTATTGCATTAAAGGGAAAGAACTTTGGAAGTGTTTGAAGTTTATGCATGTAAGAATAAAAACACAATTTTTTATAAATAAATTCTGGATTTTTTTGGGTCCCTTCTCATAGTTAGTGTCTGCTCAAGTTTTAAACTTCTTGATTGGCAGTTTAATGGTAATTGGCCTTTATATATATAACTTTTTTTTAGGTTGTCTTCAGGGCAAAACGTGGTGTCAGTTACATAGGAGATATAGCAGTGGATGATATTGCCTTTCAAGATTGTTCTCCTTTACATGGACCAGACAGAAGGTGTACTGCTCAAGAATTCATGTGTGCTAACAAGCACTGCATTGCAAAGGACAGGCTGTGTGATTTTGTGAACGATTGTGCTGATGGTTCAGATGAGACTCCTTTCATTTGCAGTAAGTAAATCCCTCACAGTATTGAGGACTTTGCCTTTTGCCTTTACTCTTACTTTTGCCTTTACCTTCTACGACCTTACTCAATGGGTTGCGTTTATTGTTGAAATATGCAGTGTATGAGGATCTCAACATCAGAGGCAGGTAAGGTGATTTAATTATTTAGATACATTCCTTTATCCTCCTCAATAATTCGTTCATAACCGTACTTCATTTATTAAAACTATTCGTAGCTTCAGATATTTGTAAAGTAATTGGAAATACCTTGGAAAACAGGTGTCTTCAAGGACAAACAGCATAGAAACAAGTATTTACTATATGAAAGAATGGTTTTGGGGAAAAAAAAGACAAGTAAAATATTCATGAAAGACTATTTATTTGCGGTTGGTCAGTTTCCATGCTTTGATCCATTTCAGAAGTTTTCCATTTCTCTCTGTAGATTATCAGATATGATAAGTTGTTTTAAAAAGCAATACCCTGATAAATACCCATATATAAAATAGACAAAGTGATCTCCCCAAGGAGATACATATCAGCTATGTAATATTGCTGAAGGAGATCAACTCATAATGAACAGCACCTATTAAAATATCCTTAGCTAAATGGGCCATATGTGCTCATTCTGGTAAGCCTGTAAAATCATGCAACACAGTCCAATTGCTGCTTCATTTCCTTGCAAATGAGGTGAATATAAATTGTCAAGATGAAGGCTGACAAATTATTCCTCTATTACTTATAATTTCTGAGCTAGAATATTACAGTTTGAAATTATTTGCTTCTTGAAGTCAAATTTGAAATATCAAGAACAACTTCAGTATATAGAGCTCATATTGGTATAGAACTTTTAACATCCAAAGCCTTTTTATTTATTGATCTTTACTTGATCTTCCCAGATGCCTCAAGAGGTAAGTAGGACAGATATTAGTACATTCAACAGATGAAGCTGCCACTAACCATGTTAAGATTTTTTTTCAGAGTTTATAAAACTTATACTGACAGAGTTTGAACCTAGAACCTAAGTACTTTGATTTATGAGCCAATGTATTGCCCAGGTTACCATATTGCTTCTGTGTAAAACTGAATCTTAAAAAACAAAAGTGACAGCTTTTCACCGCAAGTGTTTGAGGTGACAGACATGTCAATTACCCTGATTTGATCACTATTTAATATATACATGTATGGAAACCTTACATTATTCTCTATAAAAATAAAATATGACTTATTCTCTTAAACATGATAGAATTCCTTTTTATATCACATGACTATATACTTTTTCAATTTTTAAGTTATTTTATATAATATCCATTTTTGTCATATCTAAACCAAGTAAAAATACTTGCGTAACCTAGAATTTTGGATTTATTAACATTTTTCTTTGCCTTGTGAATAATTTCTGCTACAGTTTTAGTTATGTTCTGCATAAAATGCTTGTATATTATGCTTGTATATTTTCTTCTTCACCATTTACATTTGATAGTCACATAAATCTATCAGTTTAACAGTTAAGTAGAGCAAATATAATACTTTTGAATTTTTTTGTAATCTTGCCGATATATCTTTTTCTCAGAGATATAATTTAATTTTAATTGTTTTTAGAACTCAAAGTCTCAATTTATTCCTGGCTAACTTTTTTTTTTTTTTTTTTGAGCTCTTTGTATGTAGTCTCTAAAGTTGTGACTATTTCTAGGAATTGTCTACTTGTATTTGGGAAAGTATGCTGCTGTACCAAGGGAATGAGAAATGTGTTGAAAATGTACTGTCTTATTAGGTCTTTTTTTTTATGAAACCCAAAGGCAAAACTAATTATAGGTTTTAGAGGGTAAGTTGTGCCATAAGGTGCTTTTTGGTGAACTGTTTGCCAAATACCTTTGTTTTAATTTCGTGTGGGCATATTCGTATCAGTAATACCAGAGCAAGCAAACTGAGTTTGTTTCAAGATACAGCATAGGAAAAAGAAATTTTTTTCAGCTTCTCGGACAGACAAGTTAGAGTAAACCTGATTTTGGCATTGGTTGTCATTACATGAGTATTATTGTTGTTTTTACATAGCATTGCTTATTTTATTTTATTTTATTTTATTTATTTTGAGTTGGAGTCTCACTCTGTTGCCCAGACTGGAGTGCAGTGGCCACTCCCGTCCACCGCAGCCTTGACCTACTGGGCTCCGGAGAGACTTCCGCCTCAGCCTTCCAAGTAGCTGGAACTACAGGCACACACTACCATGCCCAGCTAATTTTTTGATTTATTGTAGAGATGAGGTCTCGCCATGTTGCCCAGGCGGGTCTCGAACCCATGGGCTCAGGCAATTCACTCACCTTGGCCTCCCAAAGCGTGGGAATACAAGCTGAGCCATCAAACTCAGCAGTATTGCTTATTTTTGAAAAATTCAACTGTATTCCCAGTTTAAATGTTTTAAATGTTATGTTTTAATTATAAAGTGGCTAGAATCTGCTATATAAGTTATGAGTGGTGTTATTTTCCTGCATATGCTGTAAACTTTGATGCTCTAATTAGACCCAGAAGAACAAGAAGATAAAGTTAAAGGAATTGCCATAGCAACTGATTTCAAAAGTTTGGTTGGCAACCAACCAAGCATTGGGCTTAAGTTCCCTAGTGTTTGTTCTTTGTTTTGTTTTGAAAATGCCAAGTAAAGGTTGAACATGTATCACAACTCTAAGAAGGCTTTAAAGGTATGGTTAGGTAGAAATCTACCATCTAGGAATCACAGAAAGAATGAAAGACATCAATTCTTTTGAAAGACATAGACTTTCTGATGGGGAGAAAACAATTCTTAATAATACAAAAGTACCTGCTGCTTTAATTTTCTGTAGATCAATGTAGACTCTGAAAGCAAAATCTATCAAAAAAACACAATTTTTGTTTTATTTCTATATAATCTGAATACCATTTCTAAAATACAGGACATAGTCAAAGAATGTGATTTATTTATCTAAGAACTCAAAAATGTTATTTGAACACAATTCTGACATTGATAAAGAGGGTCCTTTGGAAAACAGCCAAATTTTTTGTTCTCTAATACATTCTAGTTAGCATATTTATTGTTGATACACAATTCAGACATCTCAGACATCCTCAAAATAATTTTATTTTGTACTGTAATAAATAAGGATGCAGTATATTTGATCAACATAGTAATGAGAACCTAGGAGCATGTGTAACAACACTCTTTGCCCACTGAGATATTTATTTTTTTAAGAACACATAAAATGTTTACCAAAGCCAAACAAAAAGTTTATGATTTTAAACATTCAGCAGACATCAATAATTTTTGATAGATTACAGCCATATAGAGGATACCTTCTGAATTAGGCTGGAAATCAATTACAGGACAATCATAGAAAATCCCCATTGGTTAGGAAGAAGACACTTTTAATAACCCATGCTTTCTCCATTCCCTCCAAAATAATAATAAAATTAGAAAATTTTTTAAATAAAAAGTAATAAAAATAATGTATAACATAACCTGTGGGATCTTGCTAAGCCAGTACCTAGAGAACAATTTATTGCCTTAAATAATTATATTTGAAACTAATTAGCTAACAGTGCAAATCAATGAAATAGGACACAAATATCAGCTAGAGAAGTTTTGAAAATATTGATTAAATTATCCAAATGCTGTCAAGAATCGGGAGAAATAGAGAATACAAAAATATCGAATTAATTTTATACATATTTATTGAGTAGTTTTTTTATATTTCAGGCAGTTTGAGACACCTAATAAATAAAACAAAAAACATTCTACTCTTCATGAACATATGCTTTTGCATTAAACAGAAAATATTTTCTATGTGTTTGTGTATCTATATATCTACATATATGAGTATATATGCACACATATGTGTGTATGTAAGCATAATTCATAGCTAGTTAAAAGGTGGTCATTGCTATGAGAAAAAATGTAGGGTAAGGGAGATCATAAATGGGAGAAGGACAAATTGAAATATTAAGTAGGAAAGGATACCAAAAGATAGGCCTAGATGACAAGGTACTAGAGCACCTACCCTCCTCTCTCAGCAATAAAATGGAATTATTTTTTGGAGGGCAAACCTCGTGTAGTACAGGCTTCCCACACTAAGTAAGTGTTCTAGGAATCAGTGTACTGGCTAGTGTTTTTGTGAGAGACTGTGTTCAGCTTCATTGAGTTTTTTGGGGTCTTTCAATGCATTTGCCCAATTCTTGATGGGTGATTTACACAAACAACCTGCCCACACCGTGCTGAGTGTTCAACAGTTTCTGACCCAAATGGCATGACCCCTATTCACCCATTCTCGCCTTGAGCAACTATTTTGTTTCCCTGAATGAAAAAAGTCATCAAAGGGAAACGTTTTGCTGATGAAGAAGAGGTGACACAAAAAACAGAAGAACCACTAAAAGCATCAAAACTGACGAGTTCAAAAACTCTTTTGAGCAGCGGAAAAGCATATTGATTGGTGTACTTCATCAGAAGAAGAGTACTTTGAAAGTGACTGAAGTTTAAACATGTAAGAATAAATACACATTTTTTAAATAAATGAATTCCATGAATTTTTGGCTCCCCCCTCGTATTTAGCAAATTTTTAAAGGAAGTTTAGGACCTACTGTTTTCTTTTATAATTTGTTAATTATAGCCATCTTAATGGGTATGACATGAAATTGCATTGTGGTTTTGATTTGCATTTTCTGAATGACTACTGAGGTTGAACATTTTTCTTGAGCTTATTGGCCATTTGTGTATCTTCTTTGAAGACATATCTATGGAAATATCTTATGTTTTTACAGAATTGTTTATCTTTTGTTGATGATTTTAGGAGTTCTTCAAAACATCTGGATATTCATCATTGATACCCAAAGCCATAGTTTTGATTAGGTTTCAGTCTTGGTGTACATTCTATCGATTTTGACAAATGTGTAATATGTGTCCATTATCATAGTATCCCACAAAGTGGTTTTGCTGCCCTAAAAGATACTTTCTGCTCCACCTGTTCATTCTGCTCGCCTCCACA